TTGAACAATATTGTCGAACCCTAAAACTTCCGACTACTTCCATTACTTCTACTACCTCTACTACTATGTGATTTGAAGTGACAGTTACATCTTCTTGCTAATGTGGTATGGCTACTTAAACTGATGTACGTACGTACAAAGTTCTACGTTGCTGTTGATGATTATATGTTATTCCCATGTCCATTGACTTCGTCTGTTTTACACCCATAGCCTTGGTTGTTTTTTTAAGTTCTTGTAAGTAAGTAAGTAAGTGCATAAGTAAGTAAGTAGTTAAGTAAGTAAGTAAGTGAGTAAGTAAGTGCATAAGTAAGTAAGTAACTGTTAGAATATTACTTTGAAATCATGAATCAGTTATTGTTAGACCGCTATTAGATATCTGGAAGCACTAAAAGATTTCTGTATCTTCCTCATCAGCAGTGCACATCTACCACTTCCACTTACGGGAATCCAACCCAGGACCTTCAATTTCGCACGCTAATGCTTAATTTCTAGACCACTAAGTCGAAATCCAACGGTGTTCATATCTCACTTTGATCAATTTAAGGTATTACAAAACCTCAACCACTGTCTTTAGTAGTTACTGCCTACACACCCGACACATGATTAAAGCTTTAAACATTACTACTAAACTCTGTTGATATAGTTATGAGAGATTTTTCAAAAAATCAGTTACTGCCTAAACAAACAAAATCTTTCTAGCATATTCCAACAGTAAACATTGACAAATTCACCAAATAGTTTGTGATCAAACTATCAATTTTCACGTTGAACACAGTTCAGCAATTAATTACTTCATCCAATGAATTCAGCCTAAATGGTTTTTCATCATCAACATTATTGTCATGCGGTACGTACGTACGTAAGTACATCAATTCAAGTTGTCATATCACATCAGCACAGAGACATGGAATTGTCAATGCAAATCCCATAGTGGTGGAGATAGTAGAAGTATTTTTAGCGTTAATGGAGAAGAGTAGGGTTCGACGATATAATTCATGAAGTGTAATTTAGTGAAACAAGTTTAAAAAGAAAAAGATGAAGATGATGAGGAATCTAGAGGACTAGGGTTTGAGTGAACCCGAAGAATGGATGCAACTGCTCCATTGCGAAAGGTTTAGACCCACGTCATTCAAGGTCTCTAACCATCAGTTACGGTCATCATCATCAGTTCGGTCGTTTGGCATACGTTTATATCTGCGTCGGTTTACAGCACAGATTAATCTTGTATAGATAGTTAAAGGAGGAAGTGTTATGTTCGTCACTATGTACGCTTGAAGCTAATACGAGTTCACCTTAGTCGATAAACGCGAACGAGACAGTTACCAGCATCCAGATAGGCTACCTTGAATCCCAAGCTGTAAAACGGAAGTCTTGTGTATAAGCGTAAGAAAAGTATAATATTCTACAATACACCCAGGGCAATCACAATACAATGTACCCAAGCACACAACTCTCGTATATTTATACATCATAGAAACGTCCTTGGGACAGTTGCAAAAATAACACACTAAAATACATAGCAGCCAATCACAGCCAGGGATTTCCATGGTGGGAAATGAAATCTCAAGGTTAATTGATCAGGCCATGTTCACAAACGTGAAATCCAAAATTAAGGCATTTATCAAGCGAGTTCTGCGGATCTAACATCCCTAACAGGAAATCTCACTGAAACCAATCACTGGTGTAATTTGTTACACTGAAACAAAATATCCAACAATCTTCAATATAAATATGAAGATATTATATGAAGTAGAACATATCAATTCAGTCAATCAGTAAACTAACTACTGGACAATAAAATTGTTTCGTTTTTCAATTGTTCCGAGAAATAGCCAAACTGTGTAAACCGTAAACCAGCAGAGAATAAGATCAGCTAACCATGATTTAATCAGTGATCGAGAAATAAATCAATTACTTTTGCTCGATTGAAATACACAACTTGATTCTAAGTTGTTAGTCAAGCAATACTTAAATGTGAATTTGAGATAAATTGATGTTAGTTAAACGTTTAGATGAATTTTCTGAAGTGAACACCACCTACCGATTGTTTGATTTGATAGAAAAGTAAGTGTAACTTCAGCATGTACAATCAAAAGATGATCGGTAGAATGAATACATTTTCATATTGACATTTCCATCACAAATTCGGTGCTTAAGTAAAGCCTATATATAAATATACATATGCTAACTACTAAAAATCAACACTGAATAACTTAAATGATAAAAAATTCATGTATTAATCACAAATTTATTGTACATTGGCATAATACTACTTCGACCACTGTAGCAGCAGGTCTCAACATACATAAAGGAAAAAGCGAAATTCTCCGATGCAACACAACATCCACCAACCAAATCACTCTTGATGCAGATGTCTTGGAGGACGTTAACACCTTTACATACCCGGGTAGCATCATGCACAACCAAGGTGTATCCGATGCAGATGTGAGAGCGCGGATTGGCAAAGCAAGGGCTACATTTCTACAATTGAAAAATATCTGGAACTCCAAACAACAACCAACCAAAACCAAAATCAGGATTTTCAATACAAATGCCAACACAGTTCTACTGTATGGAGCGGAAACATGGAGAACTACCAAAGCCATCATCCAGAAGATACAAGTATTCATTAACAGGTGTCTACGCAAAATACTTCGTATTCGTTGGTCAGACACCATCAGCAACAACGCACTGTGTGAGAGAACAATTCAGATTCGAGTGGAGTAGGAAATCAAGAAGGAACCCTTAAGGCAAAAGGAAAAAAGGAAGGCCAAGGAACACATTACGCAGACAAATAGAGAAAGATATGAGAAGAATGAACAAAAATTGGACAGAATTGGAAAGGGAAGCCGAGGACAGAGTTGGTTGGAGAAAACTGGTGGGCGGCCTATGCTCCATTGGGAGTAACAGGCGTAAGTAAGCAAGTAAGTAATAATGTTGTGGTAACCAGTACCTGCTGGTGATGACTTAGCATGCCACACGATGGGTAAATGCCGTGCCGATGGCGGACCAACGTGCAAGGACCTCCCGATTCCTAGGGTGGAAAGAAAACACGTTATAATGTTTAAAATATCTTCGACGTCGTCTTCTTGGACAGTTTATCTTCCAATGTCCTGCGTCTCCACAAGCGTAACATTTATCGTTCCTTTTATGATTTACTCGTAATGCTGCTATCTCACGCTCTAACTCCTCAATCTTCTTCTCGAAAGTATTTATCTCCTGCTTTTCGCACCCGACCGGAGCTACTGTTCGTGTCATCAGCTGACTAGTCACCTTCGCCAGTTCACCGATGTCCATACGTTGTGCTGCATTTACTAATCTCAGCTGCTGGGACACAGCGGCAGGCACACTCTCAATAAATTGCGACGCCAACAATTGTGCCTCCGACTCCTCATCGATATTCGGCAAAGCACGGCGCAGCAATCTTGTGAGTTCCACAGCAAGCACCAGCGGGTCACCGTCAGCCGACAGCGTCACCAACCGGAACTTTCGCAACGCCACCTCCCTGTCCACCGGGCTGTCGAACTCGGTCATCAGCTGCTCAGTGACCGCCTTCCATGATGTCTCCCCGCCAGCACCGTCCAGGCTGTCATATACGGCCTTCGCCCTTCCTCTCAGCAGCGTTCCCAGCAACACCACCACCAGAGTTACTCAGTAAAATCGGAAAACCATATCGTAAACCGTTCATTTGCAAAAGATCAGTTCATCCTATGGAACTGGACTGTTCCTGTTCCCAAACATCAATCCATTGTCACTATTCATGCGTTTCATACAAATTCCATTGTTTCTAACTCTTCCTTTCTTGATCTTCCCCCCATATTATGCTACCAGACTTTACGTTGACACTCACGTTATATACTACTTATAAGTAGTTCGCGCCACAGCACCACAATAATACTACTTGGATAAAATAAGCTTTTTGTTGTCTGACTGTTTTATTTTCTGAAATATTTCGTAAAAAATTCTTTAACATGATATCATTTATTCACTGCTTGGATCCACTTTGATTGTCAATGATGCTGTCCAGATATGTGTAAAGGTTTTATCGAAAATCGTAAATGCAAAAGATGCGAACATGGCCGTTAAGAGTAGAGGACATTCGTAGGTTACTAGTCTTCGATCAAAGGTGCCTCCAAAAACGTTGCTCGTGTATCCTGGGACGACAGAGTAAGCAATGCTTTCGTAAGGAAACGGGTTCTAGGTAGGGAAGGCAAATCAATAGATGGAGCATTGAAACTTCATGAGTTGAGGTGGTTGGGACATGTGTTACGAATGCCTAACCACCGACTGCCTCGATGAGCTATGTTTTGCAGTGTAGGAGTAAGTTTGAAGAACGTGAGGGGCGGTCAGACCGGAACATGGCAGGAATCAATGAAGTCACTGTAGGCTATCTTGTTGGGGTGCGCGATATGAAAGTCACCAATGGTTAGAGACCTTGAACGACATGGCTCAGAATCGTTTGCAATGGTGCAGGTGCATCCACTCTTTGTGTGCTTTTTTAATCTGTCCATCTGAATTCCTCATGATCTCTTTCTCTCGTCTTCTAAATTTGTTTAACTGAATAGTGCTTTTCGAATCATATCTCCGCACCCTAATCTTCTCGATTGCTGCTAATAATTCTACGATCACTGTCACTCTTGGATTTGACCTGACAGTTACGTATATGTACTGATGTGTATGGCAACCTGAACTGATGTACTTATGTACGAAGTTCTGCGTTGTATCTGTCTGTCTGTCTGTCTCGGGTAGTGAATAATAAAATGTTTGTCTAATTCACAGTGTTCATACAATAATATGAGTCAAGTTTAAAATGTGCACGCTAACTAACCTAAGTTTCATTTAGGAAATATATTTTTACATTGAAGTAATATTAAAACATAAGCCATTGAAATATGTGTAATAACAAAGTGTAAAATGATTTTTTTCAGGTAATCGACCTAAGTTAATGAGTGTTTTACTGCTTTCCAATCTATAAATATGTGCACACTATAACCTGTCAACTAACTGTCCACGATACCTGTATCACGATACTGAACATCACTACCAACGATTGAATATCGTACTATGACTTCACGACCAGTCGTATCAGCAGGAAATGGACCAATTGTCCATTCTACTTCTAATTCTCCGTCATTGTAAACACGTACAATCAAAGATGCCCATGATGAATATTCCAAATGGGCTTCATCAACTAACAATCCATGTACTATCTTTAATTTGAGAAATAATTTGAACAAAATAAAGAAATAAAAATATTTTACATTTCCAACTGTTTTGTTTAGATTTTATCTTTGACACTGTAATAATTGACATCAAATCATGTTAATTTATATCATTATCAAATTACAATTTGTACGATGCACGAATATCATTACATTTTGAATCAAACTGCCATCAACTATGAATTCAAAGTAATAATAATCTCTGTTTATCTCTCCTCGTTACTATCACTAAAGTTTTTTATTTGTTTGATTGTTCTTACAACTAGAGACTTTGTGAATTAATGTTTCGGAAATATAGACAAATTTCTTAGAGTTTTTGAACTATCCTCAATAATGTATGTCAGAAGTTATGAGAACTACAAAATATATTGAATATTGGTATGTTAGTTTAGCTCTCAATTGATTAGTCATGAAATATGACCATCTACTCTTTGAGAACAAAAAGACTGAAATAAAATGTATATAAAAATATATATAATGTGTTTTTAAAACTTGCTCGAACTATTCGCCATTCAAATTTAAAAGTTAATCTTCTGTTAATAATTTTGAAACTATTATGATATATCACATTGTTGTCTCAGAAAAAAGGCAATTCATCAGTCCGTTCTAATCAGAATTCTGCTTCTGAATTTCCTATTTTATTACGACTAACTTCTCATTAGTTATCTCACAAGTGAATTGTCTTTAATAACCTACATTAGCGCAGGTGTACAGTTAGTGTTCTGATATTAAAAAAAGTATGAGTAAACATACATTTGATCTATCCATAAACGTATGTGCAAAGCCGTTGTTTGGCTTTGAACAAGATTATTTTGTGTTCCGCTACTGATCCCGCTTTTTTTATTCTTCTTTTTTCAGAACCTTATTCCAATCCTCATATATTACTCTGTATATTTGCAGTAGACTTGGTTATCCAACACAGGAACATGTGAAATCATTAGCTGATGAATATCAACCAGACCTTTGTACATTTACCGCATCCATTCTAGTTATGTGCAAACCTGTCTCTACCATGAATCTTTTCGAAGTCGGAAAGATGATAGTCGTAACGCAACCTTCGTAACTCGCGCCAATTATATGCATTGTACATTCCATCAATCGGAGTCCAATGGATCTCTGGAAATGTTTCCGTAACTGTATACCGTTTTAAAAGAAACATGTTGCTAATCTTAACATTTTGATCTTGCCTGTAAATTGACATGTCTCTTGTACCATGTTTGTTTTTTGAGAATAAATTATTAATTATTATTATTATTAATATCATAGTGATCTGAAACTGGATCCAGTGAAGTTTATATTAGTATAGTGAATTTAATACAAATATTAATGATCATATTATAAAATGTCCACGTGGACAAATACATATTTTGGAAGCTCTTCAAATTCCTGCGGACAATATTTCGTTCAGTCATTATGTCTAGTCAAATAATACTATTCTTACAAACTATGTATTTGGAACTCATACACAACGTCTCCATAAACGATGCAAAATATCGAAATCATTATAAGTAACCATTTTTCAGTGAGGAACGTCAAGCAAAACATTGTGAAACGCATAGATTGATTATTACACAATGATAAATTCATTTTCATAGTTACCACACATGTATATGTATACAACAGTACAACATGATCGAATATCTGTTTTCAAGTTAAATATCGACAGCTACTTTTTTCAGAGAGACGATGATGTGTAGAATAAAAGTCATCAATGATAAACTATGTATAAAGCTTGAAATGAAATAACGTTGATACGTCATTTTCTTCTATTTATTTCAAAATAATCGATCCCTGTTTTTGAAAACTTTGTTTATGAAAATCCACCGATGTATACACTTATAATTTGTCTTTATTGATTCCTTCGGTTTTACATTTTGTTAAACTGTTCGATTTGTGATGATAATATTTGTAATTTGTAATGGTTTCTATTTCTTTTGCCTTCACTGAGTTTCTATGTTTCTTTCTGAACTTCTTTTGTGTTGTTTTAGCTGATACTTGATCATGGTGACAGCCATATTTATTTGTTCCTCTTTTGATTGTGTTGCTTGCTTTGACTGGAATTGTGCGTTTTGATTGTGAATGAAAGCACTCTTCCAGAATTGGAAACGCTCAGTGTTTTAAAGCAACCATGTATTATATTTTTAGAGAATCTGATCTATCTTAGGAGGGATAGAATATCATTTCTTTGTTGCTCTGGATTTCATTAATTGAACAATTGTTAGTGAAATAACTGAATGGTCATATTTGTATCGGCAATGATGTAAGTTTGTATTTATGATGAATAATAGAACCGCTAATTACCCAAATCACTTGTTTTGATTTTAACTGGTCAAGACGCGTATCTAAACTACTTGAACAGTTATTCTTCGATTCAAAACTCACTTCGGATGTATGACCAGTGTTTGAATTTTTTAAAATAGTTCTACGACATGTCGACATTGTGAAATTAATTGATCAGATACACAAGGCGAAATCGTTTCTTGATAAATTTACTTCTACTGATTAAGTGTCTAGGATAGTGGTAACTGTTGACCTTCTAGAGAGATTGTGACGATGCGAACCCAAATGCATTTTATAAGCGTTTATCGTTCTCAAATGAATCACATTTGGGTATCAGTGAGGTGAAAAAATCTGAACATTTAGCCAATGAATTTGTTGCGTTACACTTTCGTTATCTTCGATTTTCCGTATATCTCCGTCTTGATGATCGCTACTAGAGAACACAAGTCATTGCCACAATCTCTTTATTATTCAAAATATATTATGATTGATACAAATATCGGATTCAAATGAAATATGTATATTCGATATTGACATCGAATTATACAAAGTGTTAATCGATACAGCTAGTCAAATAACTATATGTGTAGGGTACAAGTAATGCCCAAGCGTACATTCGCGTACAAGCCCAACAGTGATAGAAGTACAAGATATATGTGGGGAGCTACAAAGTTACAAAGTATTGGAATCTACGTATTATGTTGTAGAAAACAACTGATTGAACTCATTCACAAAGTAGTACATCAGACAAATTTGTGTTGAATAGACTCTTGCGGTTGTCAGAACATTTTCAAGCCGAGATTCAAACTGCATTTTGATCAAACGTGAACTAGAACGACACTAGCTTATATTTATCACACACCACTAAAATCTGAGTGGACTTTAGTACGCACATAAATGACTAATGTATTCTATGCTTTCCCAATGACTTGTCTTTGTAAGAAACTCGTGCTGAGAGCTAAAAAGAAGTAGCCTAAAAATGAATACGTAGCAAATGTCAATGTGAAAGCAACAAGGTTTCCACGAAGCTATATGACGTAACAAGATAAATAGAAAATTCAATCTATGAGTAACTGATAATTCTCGATGGTTATCACTAATGTCTAGCTATGTCCAAGCTTACAGATGTACATTGTGCCGTACAAGACAAGTCAAGTTATTCATGTTACCATTAACCACCAGAAAGAGTGAGAATAAGCAGATTTGTTGGACAGCATTCTAAACTGCATACGTGATTTTCCGAAGTATTCCGTCTTAAGAATGCCTTGTCATGCAGACGATGTTTGATGCAACTTCAATTTAGGTTTCGTTCGTTCGGTTTCAAATTTGATTTCTCCTCTTAACATGTCTGCGTAATTATGACCTGAAATTTTGCTATCATGAAGGTTGTTAAAACTGCAGCCATCATAACTTGTATTAGCTGAAGGGCATAAAGTAGAATGCTTGCAGAAAGCAGTGACAATTACTTCTACTGGATTATATCTAATCTCAAATGGTATATATGAGGTATAAACGTTCATAACGTACCGTTTGATGAACAGAAGTTTCATACAATGTCGTTTCACACCTCTCACAATAACGTGTTTAATGGATTCCACTAATAAAATCTGTTTCAGTCAAACCTGCCTAAACTCGGACTGCCTGATTGCCGAGAACTAATCAGAAGAGAAATTTCTTGATGCGTCGTTGCAGCTGATGCTGATAAAAACTATTTTATCCTGTGTATCTACCCAATATTCAAAGACTCACAGTCTCACGTTTTTATGTTATACTCACAAGTTTTAGAAATCGGTCGACAGAACTAAGTCAACACCAAATACTGGACAACTGTCCGTTAATTATCCGCCAGGCGAATAACATCACCATTTCAGTGTTTTTGTAAGTGATTAGTTGCTCCGTGTTCCTGATAAATGTTTGAGATACAGAAACTAATTGATACAGATCTAAGTGACATGAGAATCATTAGTTAACATGATATTGCAAATAAGCGTTAACGGCGAGTTACAACAAATCACGTCATCCACGTCAATGACTTAGTTCGGTATAAAGGTCAAAGGTTATTCAGTAAGAGACTATGAATAAAAGGGTTTGTAAAGGTTTGCACTAAAACAGATGCGTGCACTCTTGGGCTTTCTCCGAAATGTGAATTCATCATACTCGTTTTCTATTACTTATTGACCTATATTTTCTCATTTTATCTTCTACCCTCCATCGTTTCCACTACAACTAGCTGCAATACGATTGGATTTGACTTATCAACTTCACATCTCCGAATAAATGTGGTACCTTACCTCGAACTGGTGTGCTTAAATACCAAGTTCCGCATTGCTGCTAACTTACTAATCATGGTGAACACTACAGTGTACTATGTTAGATGCATGAATGTATACTAGACTGTCTAAAATTGGACTCAGAATAAACCGTACCTTCAACCAGTTGTAAGATCACTTGACTTGATATGTTACGTTTGACTGGAAAAAAACATATGAGTTTACTACAGTCAATGCCAGGCTGGTGATTTATTGATATAATTCAGAATCAGTTACTGTAGCAGGAATGCATTCATTTCTTATAATTTTCCTAATATTGATATTAAACATTTTCTTTCTGAGACACCTATTCTCTCCGTTCATTCTTCCCAACAGTATTTGTTTCTATTATTATTGACGTTCATTTATTCATCAATCTTGTCAACCTAATTTCGTTCAACATATTTCTAAGATATTGTCACTGGGCAACAATATAAAACAATCAGATGGATACGTCGATAGACGTGGTACTACATGATAATTTGCAGAATGTGTAGCAAGCACGTAGATATTGAATAAATGAATGAAATCAGTATTGAATGCCGCGATGAGCTGGAGTTGATCTTATTGTTTTCTCATTGAAATGATAAGTCTCTGCAGCTTCCTGATGTAATCAATCAGAACTAGGTGTAAATTGCGTCACATCCGTCAGTATATCGGTCCTTTTGAGGTGATGGTCGCTAACCAAACATTTTACACTTATTTTGCATCAAACTTCATTGATCAATAACCGGTTTTCTCTGATGCAATAAAACCGGAAGAACTGAAGTGATTTTCTCAGAGAGAATGTGCCACATATTGGTGTTTTATTTATGTGCGTTTCTCTTGATCATTCATACAACATTGCAGCATGGTGTGTAGTAAATATCAAAACAACGTGCCCTGAGAATAACAATGATGATACTTGCACTTACCAATTTGAAATATGAAAAGACACTTGAATAACAGTAATTGTGGTATATTATCATGTAGCTAGGTGAAAACAGAATTACGTGAATAATGCTGTAAGATACGATTTTGATGATGCCGATGGCCCTTTATTCATTTGATGCTTTTTCTCGGTGAATGGAAATTTTAAGGACACATCACTCGATTGCACATTGAACAGTTATAAACGGACATATACATGTAATAGTAAATTTTCTTTTCATTCAAAATCTAGTAAATACAACAGAGTTAATAACGGAAGTGAGAACCGCTGAAAATACTTTAAGAAACCTAATAGGTAACTTTAGTTTTCAGTAGAATGTTCGTAATGCAAACGTGAACTGACTACTACTACTACTACTAAATACTGTTTGAACAGATACTGCACGCCTGTAAAGTAAGAGATAGTTGTCTACCATGTTATCATGGTATTGAACTGTTTCGAATATGCTTTGAAACTATATTTGAATGCTTCCGGCTAAGCGCATATGTGTTTATGTCAAATAAATATTTGCCAGAAACCCGTTTTACATTTGACTACACATGCGATCGATTCCTTTTTACGTATATGCATTAAAAATAGGTTTATTCAATCGAAAACGAAGTTGTCTGTGATTTAAACTATTTGGACTACATGTGAACAACACTATTGGTCGCATCTTCGAAATAAAACATTCCTTTCTTTTATAGCTCCACAAATAGGAATGTCCGGAGAGTAGAAACGTATTTACAAGTAGCCTTGCCTGATCTGAGCATCCGAATCGTGGGTCAGTGTGATATTCACAAGCATTCGACTCTGGTAGATCGCAGTCATCATTATTTGGCATGTAAATTGTGGTTAGCAATGCTAACTAATATCAAATGTTAGTGCAACTCTAGTGTCGACAGTTCTCAGTAGAGTGGAAAATTGGAGCGATTTTTGAAAGAATAGACACCATTGAAATTCGTAAAGCTTACAAGGAAACATTTATTGGAATACCTGCGTGTTCAAATGCTATATAGTCGAGTTGATATTCAAATTAATAAATCAGCAACTGCTTCTCCTAATTGATAAATAATTAGACCGAAGAGTACAATAAATAACTTTGGCAATATGGAGTAATACGATCTGAATGACTGTCACATTCTATTAGTTTGAATGCGTTGGCACTAATATTTTGCTCAATAATTCCAACTGATTTTCGGCTTCTCCTTCAATCCTCTCGGAATTGTTAAGACATTTAAAACGATTGAACAGAGTTTCCGAAGGTAGGTTTACCTGGAGACATGTACCATTTTCACATGTAAAGTACAATAGATATCATATGAATGTCACATGTGCAGAACAGCGGTCCTAAAAGTGTTGAACATAATATTTACTGTGATACATATACTTTGATGATAAATACGTGTTCTGTTTTATGAATGAACTTTTAAATCACATGTTCATGCTATAAAAATTTCAATTTCTTGAATATTACATTTTATTTACTGCTCATGTAAGAAAATGTCACCAACTCAGAAAGATGGGATTCATGCCTTCAAAATAGAAACCAAACATATTAAGTTAAGTTTCCAGAGTTTGATTATAAACAGACGCGTCAATTTTTTCGTCTGTAAAAGTATATGAGGAACTTTTAGAAAATGAATCACAACATACTCATAAAATAGCAAGTAAGCTGTACGTAAATCAGTGAGAAAATCAGTGTGGAAGTTGACGCGATATTTGTAATAGATAGATGCCAACAACTACCACATTATGTTATTGAATTATGATTCTAATCATATAAAACTGAAGTGAAGAAATATCCATCGATAGTGATTTGGCTTCAGAACGCAAGGTGAAGAATATAGAGTATCTGAAAAAGGCTAAGCGAAGGCATTTATTCACGTTTCGTGAGACAATTAGATACCGGAGTGGTAAACGTTGACTAGCCAACTGTT